TCCAGCTGACTGCAGGGAGGGAAAATGGGGCCAAACAAAGCACTTTTGGGGTTTCAGCCTGCTCCTGGGGGTTCGGAGGTCGCTCGGGCAGCCTGGCGTTGCCGGATCCGCGGCGGAGCAGCCTTACCTTCCCTCGCTGTCTTTGCAGTAGGGGCAGGTACACGCTTCCCTCCGCACTTTCCGTCCTTGCTGGGGCTGCGGGTCCGGGCTGGTCTCTCCTTCCTCCACAGCCGCGTTCTCGTCTCCCAGCCCGTCTCCGCTCGTGCCGTGAAGACCCAGCTGAGCACTGTGGTCGCCTGGAAGAAAAAACACAGGAGGTTACTGCGGGCTCTCAGCCAGCAAAGCCCCGAGCAGCAGGAGGGAAGCGAGAGGGGCTTTCCCCGGCCTTTCCCCACGGCAGCCACAAAGCCAGGGGGGTCTCGGCTTGATTGAGCCGAAGGAAGTTACTAATTGCAGCCTTCTCCCTCGGTTTTCCACAGGCTCCTGTCTTTTCAAGCCCTGGCAATCCCACACCAAGCCTTCCCTAGAGCCCTGGGGCTCTCCCTGCCCTCCACAGCCCCCAGCAAAGCGAGGGTCCCCCCCAGCTCCCACACATCGCCCCACATTTTGGTCCATGCCCTCCGATTTGTGTCCAGAGGAGAAGCAAGAGCCGCATCTCTCGGGAAAAACAGCCCCTCCGACGTCACTCCAGCCACCTGCCAACTATTTCAGCTATTTCAGCTAACCTAGCGCAGAAAACAGAGCAAAAATGTAAACCGAGCTTGAATCGGTGTCAGCGATAAAGCAAGCGTCAAAACAACACGGAGGGAAACCCGGGCTTCTCCGAATCACACCTTGCTACCGACCTCATTGAGGTCCCTTTTCCCTCCTTGTCTTTTGGGCTGAAAGAGGCAGTTTTCCCTTTTCAAACATCTCTCCAGCTTAAACCTGATGAAAGCAACAATCCAGGAGCAAATTTACAGAGCAGATGCCAACCACCCCCCAAAAAAAAGGCAGCGATAAATAAAGCGGGCTGGAAGACCGTAGTCTTCAGCAGCATCCATCAGTGAAGATATTATCGGCACGCGCTCACTGGTTAATTACTGCGATTACAGAAAGGGATATATATATATGAAGTTGAAAAATCATCTGGTGCTGCTCGCGGAGCGCGGTCCCTCCCTCTCCCAAGGAGCAATTCCCAATTATAAAAGCCGTAGGAACCGCAGGGTAGTGCTGACGAGCTCCCAAATGCTGACAAACATAAACCATTCGTAACGGGGGGGTTGAGGGGTAGGAAGTTTTTAAGTCTATCAGTTTTCATTGCCATTTTATTGCTCTACGCTTATGCTGTCATCTAATTGCTTCTCCAATAATCCCGTCTACACTTCACAAGTGTTTTATTTCCCTTCAAGCTCCGCTGCTTGATTATTTTCATGCTGAAAAGCCGGAGCGGGCGCAGAGACGGCAGGCTGAGTAATCTCTTTTCAGCTGCAATTAACATATGCCAATAGGTCTAACGGCAGATTTAGAGCCAAGACGCTTCCGCCGGACGGGCAGCGGCATCCTTGGCTGGCTACGGGCTGCAATTTGAGCCCAAAATTCACGTTTTTCCTACCAACTTCCTCGCAAGCAGGCAACCAGGGTTGAGATCACTGCCTGAACGTGGTGGGGTTTGAACACGGGGCCGAGATAAAAAGGGACAAGCACACGCTTGTCCCCAACAGCAAATGACGCTGTACTCTGCCGCTCTTTCCGGAGATCCTCTCCCGCTGCTGGGAAATGAGGCGGTTGGGGTGAGTCTTCCCCAAAAACACCCATCTTGGGGCTTTCCTGGTGCTGTTTATCGGCAGCTGCCCGGCTGGCTCCAGCGCGGACGAGTTAACGGGAAGGACCGTGCCAGCCACCCCTGACAAAGGCTGATGGGGACACGGGGATGCGAGGGGTGTCCTGGAGCCCTGGGGGATGCTGGTCCATCACTCCATCTCCTCTTCCAGTACCTGGAAGCTGCTTCTTAAATAAGGAGCACAAATGTCACAAGGCTGCAGTTTCCACAGCTGGCGTTCCCAAAAAACAGTCCACGGTCCGGCTGCCGGCGTCCTCCAGAGCTGCATCACGACAGGGCTGCAGGAACGAAGGCCACCTCCCCGGCGTGGGGACCGAGATGCTGCCATCGGCAGTGGTCCCACAGGAGGCCAGCACAGCCTTTTGAGAAGCCCTGCTGGGACAAGTACCTTCAGCAAAGCGGTGAAATTTCCTTTAAAAACCTGGTTTTCCACGTAACAGCTTCTAGGCAGGAGGCAGCACACCAAGCATCCGCAGGAGAGGTGCTGGCACTGAAGAAAGATAAACTTCAGACTTACGCCGTCCCGAAATGTCCATTAGCCGCACGCTGGGCTCTCTTCCTGAGGGCGGGCGGGAGTTTCACAACCCGGAGACAGCGAGGGGGGGAATGACGAAGAGTTTCTGGCAGCGGGCAGCCTTCCCCAGGCCCCACAGCTTTGCTGTTACCAGCAGGTGTCAGTGGTGCCCTGGCAAAGCTCAGCGGAGGAGCCAGGGCAGGGGCCCACGCTCAGGAAAGGACAAAAGCCACCAGGAATAGATGCCCGGCTACTTGGGGCAGCGGCCAGTTGAGGGCCGCGATGCCTGACAGCTCTGCGGTGGCATTGCCAATGATCTGCGTGGCCGGTGGGGGATTTATGCACGCAGCCAGGCCACGCTCCATGTCCGGGCTTCCTTCAGCGAGAGGAACAGCTCCGATTTCACTCCTCCGAGCCACAGCGGCATCAAAAAGAGCTCCGCTCTCCCAGGTAGGAGCACGCAAACAGGGAGGCTTGAAATTAGGGCTGGCTGCTCTGTCCCCCAAGTCCACAGGGGTCCAGATTTCCTGGGAGAGGGCAGCGCTGGGCAAACCCTTTGCCATCGCGGTCCGAGACACCCAGAGCATCAAAGCAACAACCAGGAGAGAAGGGTTGCAATCAAGGAAACGAACCCTGACTCATCCGCTCGTCCCGGCTCTACTTACGTCACGCTGGGGCCGGTTTGTCCGCAGGGGGACGAGGCACACGCCGCCGTCTAAGCAGAAGCTGGGATGTCATCTGTGTTATGGATGTTGTCCGTGTTATGTGCTCACGTATCCGTGTCCCAGCATCACGTGTTAAAGGACGGTGCCGGCCCCGAAGACCATATAACCCTGCGGATGGTCCTCTCCAGTCCGCACCAGGGCAGGAGGAAACGCTCAGCTGAATCACAGCCAAAAGATGCTGCAAATAACACCCGTGACCGACACACTCGGACCAGTTCAGCCCCAGGACGGGGCTCCTGCATGGTGGTAGCATTTATAACCGCAACGGCGGTGGTTGTGTTTGCCCTCACACCGGGACACCAAGGTGGAGAGGAATATTGTGGGCCATCGAGTGACAGCAACCAGGCCAGCTCTGGCTGTTCAACAACGACGCCGGGCAGAAGGAAGGAAATTGTCTGTCCCCCGCAAAGGGGACACAATTTTGAGCCCCGCTCGGAAATCTTGACTGGGACCTCCCATACCTCATCAGCAACATTCCTGCGCTCCCCACAAAGTTTAGCAATTTTAGGACGAAACCTTTTCAGACCCCCCCCCAGCTCTTGCAACATATGTTTACAGCCTAAAACCAGCATGGAGGGAACCAGGGAGGGGTTTGTTGGGTTTTTTTAAGCTTGATAAGCCAACGACGACAGCTTGTGTTACAGCGACAGATTAGAGATTTCCCTGTCGCGTATGTGCCGTCTCCGGGGAGAGCTGTTGTAAAAAGGAAGGAGAAGACACACGCGCTCTCCCCAAAATACGCTTGGGAGGGGGAGAATCCAGCCCTTATGTCTTGGAATGGCTTCAATCTTCAAACATGCAAAAGCCTACGCAGCGTTTTATAGTCTGTTGGCATGTCATATGGAGGGGAAAAAAACCAAATCCTCCTTCTGGTAATCTATGGCTCGCATCTAATTAAGGTATAAATAAATTACGGCAAGAGAAGACAGATCTTGTACGTACACGCTTCATTCTTCACATATCAGGACGCGCCGAAGTCTCCAGAATATTGCAGTTTCAGGAGAAAGCTTGGCGGAGAGAAACCAGCTGGATAATTTACGTTTATTATCTCCACTAATATAGATTACTTCTAAGACCAAAGCTTTCATGAAGGCTGCCAAGCCCCTGGTCCATGCTCAAGTCATTGAAATCCTGAAAAAATATATTAATAGGAGACGAAGGAGGGGGTTTAATCCTTGGAAAACCCTGAGAGGGACTTGCCTGCGAAGACAGGGGCAGGAGCTGACCCTGCTTTGCTGCGCCTGGCTCCTGTACCCGACCTGTCTTTGCCCGAAGGAGCCCCTGCTCCATCAGCACGGGATGGGGGTACCGACCCCCGAGAAGAGGGGTAGTCGTTTGCCAGTCTCACGCTAAAAAAAGACCAAAGCACCCGAATCTTGGCTTGTGACTTCTCTCAAGACAAGGTGTTTCTTGTCCTCTAACTGCTAGTCGGAGGAAAAATGCTTCGGTTTAGTCGTTTTATTTAGCAAACTAAAACGAGGTGAGAAATGCCCTGTGGATAGAAGAGAGGAGCATTTTTAGATCCACCCCAGCTGACCTTAGGAAAGGGGAAACAGACTCGATGTTCAGTTTTAGGGAGGATCTGGGGGAAAAAAAAAAAAAAGAAAATGGTTTCTTGTGCAAACTCTGCAGCATTGGCAGCTGCAACTCTGCAGAGGCAGGAGAGGAAGAGGGGGGTAAGTCGTCACCACGCAAAGCAGGGCACGCGTGACAAACTGATGTCAGCTTCCAGACGCAATGAAAAGAGGCAAGAGGAAGTTTTAAAGCCAAAAAAAAGGGCAGCAAAACCCGGTGGCACGCAGCCCCGGGGCTCCCCGAACCTCTCGGCACATCTCCACTCACGGCGGACGACAGACGGCAGGCATGAGCCTGAAAAAAACCCCCCAGAACCAAACCTTTCTAGCTCACAACTCAAGTTCTCCCCGTTTCCTCCTCCTCTTTTTCTTTTTTTTTTTGGCAGAGTCTGAAAGCCCGGGGTGGCAGCGAGCAGCGTTGCCTCGCTGATGCTCACTGCTCTCCCCAAAACACACCACCGCGCTCTACTCCAGACAGATCAAAGACAATTAAGCTGTACTTGCTACACAAAGGAACAAAGTAGGTTTTGTAATGCAGTCCCCTTGATTTTTATCTCGTTTGATTTCCTCACTAATTTGCAAAATGAGTTAATCTGCAGTAGGAAGTCATTCATGTAAATTAGCCAAGCTCTCGCTTAATAATTCTTCGGAGTTATGGACA